GGGAGCAGGACATCCCCGAACTCACATCCCTGGGGTTGATTTCTGTGCCAGGCACCTGTCTGTGAATTCAGACGGGTTTTTGGGGTCACAGGGCTTGTGGGTTGAGGTGGGCAGAGCAGAGAGACCAACCCTGTCTTGTCCCAGTCCAATATGATTTCCCAGCAGGGATCAGACCCAGCTGCTGTTACAAAAGTAGAAGGAACCGTGATTTCAGATTTTGGGAGGGGAAAGCTTTTAGTGAGAATCTCCTGAAGTGTGAGTGTTTATTTTCTTTGCAAAGCTTTTGTTGCAGGTTTTGGCAGCATCTGTTTGTTATTTCCTGGCTTGTTTGAAGCACAACAAAACAATGTTTGCTACATTTGTTTGGGGGTTTTTTTGGGTGTATTTTTTTTTTTTCGCATCTAGACAATGTTTTTACTCCAGTAAGATGTATAGGTACAAATTCAAATCAAGCCTTTCTTTAGTTTAACATTTTCTAAATCACTTCTCTTCAGTGTGGGCAAACCAAGGATTAATGACACTGGGGCTGAGCAGCCCCAGAGGAGGAATGAAGGTAAAACTGCCTATAAAGGTTGCAGATCAAATCACTCGTTCCTATGGCAAGTGTCAGAGCTGATGCCAATTAACTTGATTTAAAAAAAGAACCTTCAGTGTTTAATAATCCAGCATGTTACTAACACGTGGCTCCAGGATTTATTAAAGCTTTTTTATTAGATCAGTGCCCTTTCCCTGTTGTCATTCCACGACACCATTGCCCTCTGCCGGAGGATGGGGATCTCTTTCATCTTGTGACACCCAATTCTTCCCAAAACCGTGCAAAACTCCTTTGTTTTAGGAGTATTTAAACCCCAAAAATCACTTGCATTTGAGCCAGTGATTTGTGGCTTGCACATCACTTTTCAAAAGTGGAAAAAAACCCCAAAAGGCAGGATACTTTCTGTAGTGGAAAATAGAGTTTGATTGTTTTAATTGATGTTTAAATTTGTTCCTTCTCCTTCATTTCCCTGGGGAAGAGGAGACAGGGGAAGCTTAAAAGTGACAATCTGAATTAAGCAGGTTTTGTTTCAAACAGGTTCAGTGAGAAAAGGAGAGTGCTGTTGTGATGGCAAAGGGGTGGAGTGAATGCCCTGAACAGGAACATCATTTTTCCCAGACCAATTTTTGTCTTGTACCACAAACAGTCACAAAAATCCTTGCCTGGCTTTGGCAACAAGGGAATTTTAGGATTTAGGGCAAGCCCTCTGTCCTGGGCTGTGATCACCAGCAGTGTAAAATCACAGGCTGCCATGTAATTCCTGGCTGGTGTTGTTCACAGGAGGAAATGGATTTCACCTCTGGCAGGTGCTGAGAGGGAGGAGTGTGGCTTTGTGACACTGAGAGCTGGTGTCACCTCACACTGAGGCATCAGGGTGTGGAGAGGGAAGCCTGGAATGCTCTGGATGGAGATTTCACAGCACTCACTGTGACCGTGTTCACAGGGGTCTGAGGATGAGGGAAGAGACAAGGATCTGACTCCATGTTTCAGAAGGCTTGATTTATTATTTTATTATATATATTATACTAAAACTATACTAAAAGAATTGAAGAAAGGATTTCATCAGAAGGCTAGCTAAGAATAGAAAAAGAAAGAATGATGACAAAGGTTTGTGCCTCGGGGCTCTCTGTCTGAGCCAGCTGACTGTGGTTGGCCATTAATTAGAAACAACCACAGGAGACCAATCACAGATGCACCTGTTGCATTCCACAGCAGCAGATAACCATTGTTTACATTTTGTACCTGAGGCCTTTCAGCTTCTCAGGAGGAGAAATCCTAAGGAAAGGATTTTTCATAAAAGATGTCTGTGACAGCTCACAGCTGTCCCAGAGGAATTCTCACCACGTCCTTCAGGCAGGATCATCAATAACAGCAAATCCCTTCAGGAGCCAGCAGTGAGGGAAGGCTGCAGAGCAGAGCTGTTGTGCTCCCTGGGCAGCTCAGGGTGCCAAACATGGCCAGAACTGGGGTCAGCCTCTGGTTCCATGTCCCTGCAGCCACCCATCACGTCTGGGACCCTCCCTGGGCTCGTGTCCCTTTGGGGACATTGGTTGCAGCCACTGCATCTGGGTGGCACCTGCAGCCCAGGAGTGGCCCAGAGGGAGCTCAGCCAGCTCTGGGGGACAGGGAAGGGAGCCCTGGGACATTCCCTGGGCCTGGCAGCTCTCCCTGCTGGCCCTGGGCAGCTGGAGCTCCACAGGGACAGCTCAGTGACCAGGGAGATGCTGAATGCTCCGGAGCAAATGGAAATGATCAGAGCAAAGCACAAACCACCAGAGCTGCTCGTTGTCCCCAGTGCTCAGGGGCTGGGAGGCACAGTAGCACCCCAGCACAAAGGGGCCCGTTTGCCATCATGGCAAGCTCAGCCTGTCCTGTGGGATGAGGCTGGATTGAGCCTGGATGGGCAGGAGGCAGGGGAAAGGCAGATTTAAGGTAGGGGCACAGTGCCTGGAGGAAGCTGCCCATGGCAAACAGGGCATTTGGTGATGCCAGCCCACTGTGGCAGCTTGCCAGGGGCTGTCCATGGGCTCTGAGTGGATTTTTCAGCTGTTGTTTCATCCCACCCCCTCTCCAGGGGCAGAATCCTTTCCTTGGTGCGTTTCTGGGGAAGGCACTTCCCTGGGTTAGGTGTTCAGCCTTTCCAGCTGCCCCTTAGGCCCTGCAGGGATGCTCAAGGCACCTGTTCCAGCTTCATCAGGGGATTCCAAGGGTGCCACCCCTGCTTGTCCTCTGTTCAGGCACAGTCAGCAGTGCAGGGACAGCGGGGATGATGCTCTTTCCTTAGGGCACTGTGCTCTGGCAGATCGAGGCCAGCAGGAATTCTCTGGCTCCAAGAGCTGGACAGGGATGCAGCAGAAGGCTGATGCTTGCTGGAATAATTCCTCCTCTTCCTCCCTGGTTTATTTTGTCTGAATGAGGCTGCTTTCACCAATTCTGAAAACAAATGAGAGAGCTCTGACTGGGGAGCTGGCTGTTTGCTAGAGTCAGCTGGGAATTTTCCTACGAGTTTGGATTTTGTATGCATGGAAAAGAAATTATTCACTGAAACTTCAGCTGAGGGACATTTACATGACAGTTTTAAGGACAAAGCCTTGTTTTCCCTGGTAAATTAATACCTTTGTGGTTGAAGTGCTAATTTGGAAGAACCAGGTTCTGTCCAGCCACTTGAATACTGCAAGATTCATTTAGAAGAAAAACCTGGCAGTTCTTGGAGCTGTTTCATTCCAAGTGGGCACAGTGCTGGGGGCTGGCTGTACAGACAGTGGCCAAGGGAAACTCAGGTCCATCCAATTTGGGCTAATCAAGGATCTGAACCTGGATTTCTCCATGTCTTCTCCCAAGAAAAAAAACAGCTCTGGGCACCTGTCACAGACACCTTTTATGAAAAATCTTTTCTTTAGGATTTTTCCTCCTGAGAAGCTGAAAGGCCTCAGGAACAAAATATAAACAATGATTATCTGCTGCTGTGGAATGCAACAGGTGCATCTGGGATTGGTCTCATGTGGTTGTTTCTAATTAATGGCCAATCACAGTCAGCTGGCTCAGACTCTCTGTCCGAGACAGAAGCCTTTGTTATCATTCTTTCTTTTTCTATTCTTAGCCAGCCTTCTGATGAAATCCTTTCTTCTATTCTTTTAGTATAGTTTTAATATAATATATGCCATAAAATAAATCAAACCTTCTGAAACATGAAGTCAGATCCTCATCTCTTCCCCAATCTGAAAACCCCTGTGAACACGGTCACAGCACCAGACTCAAGTGGAATTAAGGAGGGGATGTGATAACTCCCAGATCACAGAGCAGAGCTTTTCCCAGAGCATCCTGCTCCCTCTGCAGCATCCCTGGGCTCTGCCTGCCTGCACTGCAGCCCTTTTAGCAGCCTCTAATGCGTGGCCCCACCTGGGAGCAGCAGCACTAAACTGCTACCCGTGTTTGCAAACTGCCCTGGTGCGTGGCAGCCCTGCTAAGTGCTGTGCTTGGGGCTGAAATACAGCCTGCTTAAATCTTGTATGTGCTTGTCTTGCATCAAACTAAGCCGTTGTGGCACTTTAATAGACTCCAGGCACAGCTCCTCGGAGAGGGAGCCAACCTGAGCTCTGCTGGAAGCCTCAGCTGAGAGTGGAGCTGCCTGCAGGATGGGCTGAGCTGAGGGAGTGCTGATAGGCATGATGCCTTTGTCCTTTACCTAAAACGGGCAAAATTAAGGGAATAAAAAGTGGTTCTATTTATTGAAAGGGTCTTCAGGTACAAAACAGAGGCCAGAAAAAATTAAGGGAATAAAAAGCAGTTCTGTTTATTGAAGGTCCTTCAGGTACATTTAGGGCAGACAAAACCTACCCAACAATGGACAATGGGTCATGGTTTTCACACTTTTATAAGTTTGGTCCATTTGGTTAAAAAGTGGTTATATTTATTGAAGGACCTTCCAGGCTGAGGAGCCAGGAAGTTAGTTTCTTCTCCTAATGGGGCAATGAATTCTTTTTCTCTGAAAGATTTAGGAGTCCTGTCACTGCTATCTGGTGCAAGTGCCTCATTCCTTTCTTTAAAAAATATCCCACATACATAATTCCTATTTTACCTACAAAAGTTACCTTTTAACTACAAAACTGTTAAAATGTTAGTACAGCACTACTAATCAATACAACAAAATACACATAGTAAATATCTGCATAGAGCAGATGACAATATGAGACAACAGAAACAAAGTTATTTTAACTACCAAAGTTAAAATTTATTTTTAACTACTTTAACTACAAAAGTTTTTGACTGTTTTAACTACAAAAGTTACCTTTTAACTACAAAACTATTAAAATGTTAATACAGCACTACTAATGAATACAACAAAATACACATAGTAAATATCTGCATAGAGGCATACAATATACATTTTTCACAGTGCCTGGTAAATATCTGCATAGAGCTATACAACATGTATTTTTCACAGTGCCTTTGCTGTGTGTTGCAGGTTTCCTCCCACCTGAGTCCCTGAGGTTCCTGCTGGCAGCTCCAGCAGTGCCCTGCAGAGGTTCCCTCCTGCTCCTGGCTCTGAGGCCCCTCCAAACCTGCTTCTGCAATGGGTGGGTTGTAAGCACTGGTAAGACCCACGAGCCGTGTCACCTTGCTGCTCTCTGCCTCTCTCGCGTTCTCTCTCTCTGTCCTTGCTCCTTCCTGCCCATTTATTTCTGTTCTCCATGTGCTCTGCTGTTCTGTCTCTGGGGTTTTCACTGTCAGGTAATGAGGAGCTGTGGGCCCAGTCAGTCTTGGAGATGCCGAAGAGACGAGACATCCTGGCTATCGTGCTGATAGTTCTGCCCTGGACACTGCTAATCACCGTGTGGCACCAGAGCACCATTGCTCCTCTGCTTGCAGTGCACAAGGGTGAGAGAAACCAAACCAGCCCATGCCGAGCCCGTGCATCCCCCCTTCGTCCTCATCTCCTCTCTCATTTCATCCCTCCATGGCAGCCATGCTCATCTCAGCTCCCAGACCATGCCCATGCAGGAGCCTCCCCACCTCTGCTGTAGGGGTTCTACAGAGGCATCAAACTCCCCACTTCAGCTCCTAGGGGTTCTTCAGAGACATCAAACTCCCCACCTCTGATGTAAGGGTTCTGCAGAGGCATCAAACACCCCATCTCAGCTCCTAGGGGTTCTTCAGAGGCATCAAACTCCGTGCCATGGGATGTGCTCACTGCACTTGGAGAGCTCTTTATGGCCTCAGCCCAGAGTGCTGCTTCTCTTTGTTCCCTGAGAGGATTCCCTCCCTCCCTGCTGGCCTCTGCAGAGCTCTGCACACAAAGTTGTTCCAGTGGGAAAGCTGCAAAAGAGACAGCAGAGGAAACAAAGCTGCCACCCGAGGCAGCTGCTCTGGGAGACCTGAGGCTGACAGCACTTTAAGGAAAGCAGAAAAGCAGTGCTCTTGCACTTGAAGGAGAAGGCAAGAGCCAGATCTCACCTGCCTGGGGGAGCTGAAGTGCTCTGAGAAGTTGACTCCACACTCCTGTCACACACTGCAGTAAACACAGCCCTGGCCCGAATCAGGGGCTGCAGGAAGTGCTGAGGGAACCCTTCTGGCCAGAAGCACCCCAGCTTGGTCCTGTTCTTGGCACAGCAGCAATATCTAAGGGCTAGGAGGCCTTCTGGGGGCTGGAAGAAGCCACGCTACCTTCTGCCACCTTCCTTCTTGGTTCTGCCCTTCTGCTATGGGCAGGTTGGCCTGGGGGAAGAAGACCAGCTCATTTTCAGGACCCTTTCATCCTCTCTGAGGGATTCTCTCCCCTTTCAGTGTTTGTCCCCATCCTCCATAGCTGCTTATCCCTTTGCTGGACACTGATGCGCAGTTTGAGCTGCAGGAAGTTCAGTCTCTCCTGAGCAGTTTTCCCTTTCTCCTGATTTCCACCTCTTAGGCTTTGGGCAGGGAAAAATGCCTCTGATCCCTTCTGGAAGGTGGACAGTGTTTCAGAGGGTGAGGGATCTCCTGGGCTCTAAAAGAGGACTTTAAAGATGACTAAACCACGCTGCCTATCTGTGCAGCAGTTTGATCAGTGCCCTAAAAGCAGTTTTCTGTGAATGGCCTCTGCAGTTACAGCACAGAGACTGCTCCAATTGCTCGGTCAAGAACTCACCAATGACCTTGGTGAGACACTTCTCTGCTTCTCAGAGCCCCCAGTAGAGAGTGAGTGGTGGTAGAGACCAATCTGAAATCTCTCAAGAGGAATCATTTTGCTCTTGTGAAGCATTTCTGAGATGCTCTGCTCGCAGGTGCTGAGAGAGATATGCACCTGGAGATGCCCAAACAGCAGCACTTCCCCGTGCCAGGGCTCACAGCTGAGGATCTGACCTGCAGGGCTTTGCAAACTGTCTCGGGCACCATCCTGGCTAATTACATTTGTGTCTGTGTCCAATGCATTTCGCAGATTTATTTCTGCATTGATTCCAGCTCTCAGAGAGCTCTGCTGTGATGCTGAGGTGCTTTGCAGCACATAGGGCCTGATAGCAACATGTACCTTGTTCCTTCCCCAAATATCCACCATCCTCTGTCAATACCATGGAGTACAAAGCTTTCATTTGGTTCAGGTATCAAAGCCTGTGCTGCTGGAAGAATAACATGCTATGAAAAAGCCATGGGTAATCCCCTGCTGGGGCAGATCTAATGGGCCTCTGTTCCTGTTCTTTCTCATCTCAAGTTCCTGGTAGTTACCTGATGTTGAAAAATCTATGGCTCAAAGAGTTCTGTGCCCACTGGAGAGGCAGCCTTCCATCCTGAGTGGGGGTCCCCCTTCATCTCTGCAGACTGTGGCATTCCCCCTGCCCTGCACATGGAAGCTGCACCCTGGAAAAGCAGCAGGTGCATCAATGCTGGTTTTCCTTGAGCTGATTGGGAACATTTGCAGGGATTTTGTATGTTGGGATCAGAGAATCCAATCTTTAGGCTGTTCATTGCTCACATCTGCAGCTCTGAGGGGGCTGTTCTGTTCAGAGGCTGGAGGGACCTTTTTGAGGCAGGTTAGTTAGAGGCAGGGGAGAGTCTCTGCAGGAAAAAACCTACAATTACAGGCTTTAATTTCCACTCTCCATTTCTGTATTTGAAGTGTGTCTTTCCCCACTTCTCTGTGCCTGTCAGAGAGCTGTGGGGCACTGCAGTGTCCTGTCCAGACTGTGCTGCTGGGGATCATCACTGGCCTGGTGTTTTCCATCAGTTTTTTCCCTGCCTCTCAATCCAGGTGCTCCAGTGAGTGCAGATCTGAAGCCTGCCCCACTGAGCACCAGAGCACTGGAGCTCTTCAGGGATGATGGACCATCATTCCACCTGGCTATTTTCTTTATCTAGACCTACTTGCTCTACAATCCTGTCCCTTCTGGGTGCTTTTTGACACTGCTTGTTGTGAGCGCTCAGCCCAGTTATCCCGGGCTCTCAGGCCTTTTTTACTTTTTGGTGCTGGTTTTCTAGCAGCAGAATCTTCTTTTCTCATGTGTATTTGTCCCTGATTCCTTTATTTATCCGTGCCCTTACCCACGAAAGCTTCCACTCCTGGCACCCACGAGGGTGACCCGCTGGCTCAGCCGGGGGGTGACGGACGCCCGAGTCCATGCAGCTCTTTCTTCTCTCCATGCCCTTGCCCAGATGATGGTGGTGACTCCCTCACTGGCCTGGTGTTTTCCACCAGTTTTTTCCCTGCTGCCCAGTCCAGGTGCTCCAGTGAGTGCAGATCTGAGTCCTGCTCCACTAAGTGTGGTGCCCAGAGCACTGGAGCTCTTCAGGGATGATGGACCATAGTTCCACATGGCTATTTTCTTTAGCTAAACCTACTTGCTCTACAGACCTGTCTCTTCTGGGGGCTTTTTGTGAGCGCTCAGCCCAGTTGGGAGCTCAGCTTGTTGAGCACTCAGCTTGTTGTGAGCTCTCAGGCCTTTTTTCTTTTTGGTGCTGGTTTTCTAGCAGCAGAATCTTCTTTTCTCATGTGTGTTTGTCCCTGATTCCTTTATTTATCCGTGCCCTTACCCACGAAAGCCTCCACTCCTGGCACCCACGAGGGTGACCCGCTGGCTCAGCCGGGGGGTGACGGACGCCCGAGTCCATGCAGCTCTTTCTTCTCTCCATGCCCTTGCCCAGATGATGGTGGTGACTCCCAGCGTGATCTCGCTGCAGGCTTGGACTCCAAGGAATACTGCCTGTCGGACCGGGACATAGTGGAGGTGGTGAGGACAGAGTACGTTTACACGCGCCCACCCCCGTGGTCGGACACGCTGCCCACCATCCACGTGGTCACCCCCACCTACAGCCGGCCCGTGCAGAAGGCAGAGCTGACCAGGCTGGCCAACACGCTGCTGCACGTGCCCAACCTGCACTGGATCCTGGTGGAGGACTCGCAGCGCCGCACGCCGCTCATCACCCGCCTGCTGCGGGACACGGGGCTCAACTACACCCACCTGAACGTGGAGACACCCCGCAACTACAAACTGCGCGGGGACATGAGGGACCCCCGCATCCCCCGCGGCACCATGCAGAGGAACCTGGCCCTCAGGTGGCTCAGAGAGACCTTTCACAAAAACTACAGCCAGCCCGGGATTGTTTACTTTGCTGATGATGATAACACCTACAGCCTGGAGCTCTTTGAGGAGGTAAGGGCCTGCTGGGGGGGTGGATGGGGCTGGTGAGCCTGGGGAGGGTAGGATGGTTGTGGTGATGGTTGCGGTGAGCCTGGATGAGTGTAGGAGTGTAGTGGTTGTTCTATCTATTTATCTAGGATGGGGCTGGTGGGCCTGGGGAGGGTAGGATGGTTGTGGCAAGCCTGGATGAGTGTAGTGGTTGTTCTATCTACTTATCTAGGATGGGGCTAGTGAGCCTGGGGTACGATGGTCAGGACAGATGGAGATGAGAGATCTCTGAAGCCAGGTTGTGGAACTTGGGGTTTATTGCAAAGGGCCTGGGTGCAGGGCCCTGCTGGGAGCTGCCAGCCACAGCTCAGAGCAGGCCCGAGAGAAGAGAGGGGGAGAGAGGATGAGAGGGTAAGAGAGTAAAAGCATAAGAGAGCGAGGTTCCCATTGCAATACCATAAATCTTCTTCTGTGTTGAATATTCTAATTCTCACTAACCAATCTAGTACAACATACAAATCCTACAGTATTTCCATACAGCCTATAAGAATCATTACATTACCATACTGTGTTACATTTTAAACCCTAAAAACTCCTCTTTGGGCCCCTTCTGCCAAGCTGGCAGGGTCTGCTCTGACCCTTGGGCCTGTCTGCAAGCAGAGGGTGTTGTTCCATCAAAAGGGGATTACCTTCAGCTGGCCACACCATTGTTTTCCAGTTGTTCAGTAACTGAGGGATCTCAAAGCTTGCTTTCATTTCAATCTCACTTATAGTTTCCATATTCTCAGAATCTTTTGCCAGACAATCATATTGATAAGGCTTTCCTGTTTCACCTTCCCCAACAGGGAGGGGGTGAGGAGTAGGGGGTTACAGTATGGGTAAATGAAGGTTGTATAGAATGTAGTCTTATCCCCTAAAGAGTTGCTGCTGAACCAATTACTAAAGATTAGAAGCGAGACTGATGTTAACAGGCCACACCTGTAGCCAATAAGAAGAGTGTTAGAAAAGAGTGGATTGGTGGGACCGGAGTCTGTTGGTTGCTGTGAGGACAAGGAAGAGTCAGTGCTTAGAGGAGATGCTACAAGAAACATGAAGGAGGTACAAAACTTTAGTAATATGGAACCCTTGCAATGTAAAGACAATAGAACTCTTGCAATGTAATGACAACAGTGAGGGGTGCTGTGGGTGAGCTGAGGACATGCTGGGCTCCACAGCCTTCCCAGGACATCTTGTTCAGAGATGTTCCCTGTGCTGGTCCCTGCCTTGCTGCATGCATGAGGAGCAGGAGTTTGTTGGAGACTTTGGTTCCCCTCCTGCAAAAGCAGAGCCCTCCATGCACTGCCTGGAGGAGGGATGTCTGTGCCAGGAGATGTGTGCAGCTTTTCCCCCTGGAGCAATTCCTATTCCAGCACTCAGCATGGCTCCCCCAGGCTGCTATCAGCAGGTGAGGGGCTGAGATCTCCCCCTGGAAGTTTGCAGCTCCTTGGCTGAATTTCAGTGTGTCCTGACAATCTGGTTGGGCTTGAGCAGGGGCTTTCCACAGGCTTTCCTACCTTTGCTCTTTGTTCCAGCCCAGCTGGGGCTCTAAATGAGCTCCTGTCTGCAGGTTTGAATGTTCTTACAGTGCCAGGTACCTCACCTGGCTTCCAGCTCAGAAATTACTTGTTCCCCTTGCTCTCTTGAGGCCAAACTCTTTCACCAAGGGATGAGAAAGGAGGGTTGCTTCCTTCCCCACCAGCTGCCTGTTTTCATACCAGGGATCTCCTATTTATTTCCTCATGCATGCCTCTTTCCCTTCCCCAGTGGCTCTCACTTTTGCTTGCACAGCCACAGGAATGGCTTTGAAAGCTGGGAGTGAATTCAGGCTGAATTTCTTTCTTCCCCCATCCCCTTTGAGGCTGGCTCTGGTGGCATCTTGAGACAGACTCCTCACATGAATAAAGCAGAAAGGGTTCCTTCATTCACTCCTGTGCTGTGCTCGTAGAGGCTTCTCCTCTCAGACGTGTCTCTGCAGTTAAGGTCACTGAGCCAAGGAAATGTGCTGTGAAATGCAGGAGACACACATTATTGTTCCCTGTGGACAGGGGCTGCCGTTAGCAGCTGTATAATGCAGAAGGGCAAGTGCCAGAGCTCTTCTGCTCTCGTTTGCAGTAATTAGCAGTGATGAGATTAGCTCTGGGAGAGCCCTGATCTAAGAGAGTGAGCTGAGAGCAGAGAATGGAGGCTGAGCCTGCCAGGGAGCAGGGCAGGGTGCTGGGGGTGAGTGGCATCCAGAGCATCTATTTGGTTCAGCAGCAGGGCCAGAGGGGCCCCTGGTGGCTCTGCTCCATTTCTGGTGACCACAGGGAGGAGGAGGCACCCAGTCCCACAGCGCAGGGCTGTCCTGCCTGCTGGGAATGTCCTGAGAGAGAGGCTGTGCTTCCCAGCTGTCCCCCAGGCTGCTGCAGTGCCCCACTGGCATCTGGAGATGCTCTTAGCCTTTCATAGCCTGAGACTGCACCTTAAATACCTCAGTAGAGACCACCTTTCTTCCTAGATGTGCTATTCCTGCTTTTCCAGGTGGCCTTGGACAAGGTGCTTCCCTCCTGTGTCTTGGTTTGCCCATGTGGAGACCAAGAGTTGGACAAAAACCCCACTCATAAATTGCAGAGGTGTTGCTTATTGGCAGCTCTGGACAAAAACCCCACTCATAAATCCTAGAGATTTCAAATGAACTTCTTCCCGCCTCGCTCAGGCAGGATGACACTGTAAGGATTATGAAGAAGAAGTTGACAATGACAAGACAGAATGTATTTGAATGGAATTTATACATCATGTATGAGGTGTATGAATATGCAACAGGCTGTTGCTTTTAAGGGTTAATCCTTTGTTAACAGGTGTCCTTTTATTTGGGCAATCATAAAATACTCACTTTTCACACCCCGTGTGTGCTCATGGCAGATGTGCAGCACCCAGAAGGTGTTGGTGTGGCCTGTGGCCTTCATGAGTGGCCTGAGCTTCAAGTTTGAAGACTTTAAGAATTTTTCATACAGGCACAACTTATTTCGCATATATTTTACATAAGCATGAATTACTCCACAATATACATTACAATTTTAATATCTGCAAAAAGCCAATCATAAAATAGGCATTTTTCACGCTCTGTGTGTGCTTGTGGCAGATGTGCAGCACCCAGAAGGTGCCGGTGTGGCTTGTGGCCTTCATGGGCGGCCTGGCCTTAAAGTTTTAAGACAATAAGAATTTTCCATACAGGCACAAATTATCTCATATATATTTTACTTGAGTATTTGAAAAAAGTCAATCATAAAATCCACATTTTTCACATGCTGTGTGCTCGTGGCAGATGCACAGCAGCTGGGAGGTGTCGGTGTGGCCTGTGGCCTTCATGGGCGGCCTGCGCTTAAAGTTTTCCTACAGGCACGAGTTATTTCACATATATTTTACATAAGCGTGAATTACTCCATAATATACATTACAATTTTAATATTTGCAAAAAACCAACCATAAAATCCACATTTCTCACACTCTGTGTGTGCTTGTGGCAGATGCGCAGCACCAGGAAGGTGTCGGTGTGGCCCGTGGCCTTTGTGGGCGGCCTGCGCTACGAGTCGCCCAAGGTGAACGCGGCGGGGAAGGTGTACGGCTGGAAAACCGTCTTCGACCCTCACCGGCCCTTCGCCATTGACATGGCCGGCTTTGCTGTCAACCTCAGGCTCATCCTGCAGCGCTCCCAGGCCTACTTCAAACTGCGCGGGGTCAAGGGCGGCTACCAGGAGAGCAGCCTGCTCCGCGAGCTGGTCACCCTCAGCGACCTCGAGCCCAAGGCTGCCAACTGCACTAAGGTATGCTCTTGTCCTGCTGTGGGGTGATGGGGAGCCAGAGTGGGGAGAAAATGCAGTTTTCTCCATCATTCCATACAGAATCACAGGATTGATATTTATCAGTATTGTGGACGGGATGTGCCTTGTCTGGCCTTGCTGCTGAACCAAATAGCGGCAACTGTGGTGTTTCACCCCACAGACACTTTTGGCTGGCTGGGTGTGTGGTGTTTCACCCCACAGACACTTTGGGCTGGCTGGGTGTGTGGTGTTTCACCCCACAGACACTTTTGGCTGGCTGGGTGTGTGGTGTTTCACCCCACAGACACTTTTGGCTGGCTGGGTGTGTGGTGTTTCACCCCACAGACACTTTGGGCTGGCTGGGTGTGTGGTGTTTCACCCCACAGACACTTTGGGCCGGCTGGGTGTGTGGTGTTTCACCCCACAGACACTTTGGCCTGGCTGGGTGTGTGGTGTTTCACCCCACAGACACTTTGGGCTGGCTGGGTGTGTGGTGTTTCACCCCACAGACACTTTGGGCTGGCTGGGTGCTGCACTGGGCCCATGGGGACAAGTCCAGGCCTGCAGGAGCTCTGGTGGTGCTGGGATGGAGCTTCCCCCATAACAGGGGCTGCTCCTCAGGTTTCCCTCTGTGGAGAAGCTTTAAGGGGATGGTGAAGGAAAGGAGTCGGTTCTGATGGAGGGTTTGGATCCAGAGCTTTATTCTGGCTCTCAGGGCTCTGCATGCAGCACCAGCTCCAACAGAACTCCCTGAGCCTGTGGTTGCTGTTCCTCTGAACCCTGGGAAGAGGGGCAGGGAAGGGATAGGGAGCCACCAAGCAGGATGGGCTTTCCTGTGGCCTGGCTGCTCCCCTGGAGCAGGGAGTTCATGAGTGAAATGTCAGTTATTTAACATGAATTCCTGAGTGGGGTTGAGTGCTGTGACACGCTGGGGTTTGCTCCCTGGCCCCTGTGAGCTGTAACCCAGGAGCAGGGAAGGGCTGCTCACCCAGGCTCTGCCTTGCTGCCAAGTTGTCTTCTCCCTCCTGACAACTGTGCAATATCTGTGCCCACAAAAAACCTGGATCTTTCTGTGTCAGAGATAATACAGAAATGTTGTAGTGCCTGGGATATTGCTGTGAGCTCCAGGAGGCTTCCAGGAAGCTCCATTTGGGGGGATTTCACTGCTTTCAGCTGACTGATCAATGCTGCCTGTACACATTGCTGGGTCAGGGAGCAGGACCCCGTGTGCTAAATAACACAGAAACCACAGATGGTTCTTCTCCTGAAAACTTCCCAGTCTGAGAGGAGAGATGAATCTGTCTGGGTTGACAGGGAGTGTGGGAGACACCATGAGACAAAGCTGCTTAGAGTGACAGGCATCAATCACAGCCCATCAGCCACAGAGGTGCTGCCAAGGGCTTTGAAGCTTTGTGAGTGGGTTCCCTAAATACTGGAGGTGTGTGTGACCGTGTTCACAGGGGTCTCAGGTTGAGGGAAGAGATGTGGATCTGACTCCATGTTTCAGAAGGCTTGATTTATTATTTTATGATATATATTACATTAAAACTATACTAAAAGAATAGAAGAAAGGATTTCATCAGAAGGCTGGCTAAGAATAGAATAGCAAAGAATGATAACAAAGGTTTGTGGCTCGGGCTCTCAGTCTGAGCCAGCTGGGCTGTGATTGGCCTTTAATTAGAAACAACCACATGAGACCAATCACAGATGCACCTGTTGCATTCCACAGCAGCAGATAACCATTGTTTACATTTTGTTCCTGAGGCCTCCCAGCTTCTCAGGAGGAAAAATGCTAAGGAAAGGATTTTTCATAAAAGATGTCTGCAATGGGTGTGCTGAGTGTCACTCTGAAATCAGAGACCCTGTGCAGCACTCTCACACCTTTGTCTGTTATAAAGATCAGCCAGTCTCATTTAGAGAGTCTTTATTGCTTAATTACCCCGACAGAATTGTTCTTTTATTGCAAATAAGTTGGTATTGCCAACGGCTCCAGTGCTGGATCCAGGTCTCCATCATTTTTGGGATAGGAAAGAAAATGTGGCTAATAGCCTTTGCCTGATTTCCATGTGCACTGCTCCAAAGCCATGGAAAAAACAGGAATCTGATTCCTCTCACAAGGAATCTAGGAATAAGGAGGAGGAGCTGAGGGGAAGGAACAAGTCTGGGTTTTATCTGATACCTGCTGTGCCTCTCTGAATCCAAATTTCTGTGGTTATGGCTGTCCTACACCAGGACAAATAACCCAATCAGCCTCCCAAGAATGGGGAAAGTGTTTGGATTAAAATTAGATCCCTGTTCCTGGGCTCTGTGTGGAAATAAATGTGTTTTTAACAGGCAGGAGATATGGACGGACTGCTTTTACTCAGTGTACAGAAGATCAGGGGTGTTCACCTGATCTTCTCTCCACAGGGTGTTTACCTGGCCGGTATCCAGTCTTTGGTCCATTGTCCCTGCTCTAAACAAATACCTGATGAAGGAAGCTGTGCTGAGAGGCTGGGGTGAGAAATGACAGCCCTGGAGGAAGGAGAGAAGGAAAATGTCATTTCCAGGAGAAGGAAACAAAGGGTGCTGGAGCCAGGCAGGGCTGACCCAGGTCAGGGATGGGGAGGAAGCAGCTGGGATTGCTGCCCAGCACTGGAAGCATCTGAGTTTCCTTTCTTGGCTGGGCTGGGCAGAGCTCACAAGGCTCCTTGTTGTGAGCTGAATGCTCCTGGCAGGCTCTGAGTGCAGCTTTGCAGCCTCCATTTCCCTGGAAATCTCCATTTCTGCTTTTACTCACCTGGGACCGTGTTCACAGAGGTCTGAGGATGAGGGAAGAGACAAGGATCTGACTCCATGTTTCAGAAGGCTTGATTTGTTATTTTATGATATATATTACATTAAAACTATACTAAAAGAATAGAAGAAAAGATTTCATCAGAAGGCTGGCTAAGAATAGAAAAAGAAGGAATGATAACAAAGGCTTGTGGCTTGGCTCTCTGTCCGAGCCAGCTGACTGTGATTGGCCATTAATTAGAAACAACCACATGAGACCAATCCCAGATGCACCTGTTGCATTCCACAGCAGCAGATAACCATTGTTTACATTTTGTTCCTGAGGCCTTTCATCTTCTCAGGAGGAAAAATCCTAAAGAAAGGATTTTTCATGAAAGATGTCTGTGACACTCACCCATTTTATCAGGAGAAGAGTCAGGGCGAGCAGCAGAGAAGGACCAAAGCCAGCTGTGGTCTGAGGTCACAGCTCAGGCTCCTCTCTCCCCCCTGTGCTCCCAGCACTTGTCATGCTTTGCTCCTGTTAAACACAACCCCACACCTGCTTGGCAGGGAGATTTACATTAAAAATTATGATGTGCTTAGACAGAGTCATTAAGGAGGGATCAGAGGAATGTGTAAGATAAGCACAGACATCTGTTCTCCAAAAATGCTGCCTTCCCTGTGTGCTCTGCTGGTGCTGGAAATATTGATCAGAATTCAGCCCACAAGCACACACTCCTGCAGAAAGCTGAAGTGTAGGCCAAAGATCACATATCATGCTTGTTTTCTTGGATTTGGGAACTGCCCGAAATGAAGGAGAAAGTAAAGGAAGTTGGTATTAGTTGTGAGGAGAAAGTTATCCCTCCTTATGAGGAGGGAAGGATTGGTTTATCCTGGAGCTGTAAGGAAACAGGGCTTTGCAAGGGTTCTCTGTATTTGGATTTCTGTTCTTTGTGCATTTCCCCACACCCCCAAATCAAACCATCCTCTCCTCAACCCCTTGGCACAGGAGAGAGGTCTGAGATTAGGCATTCCTGTCAGGCTGATGGAAAGGGGGGACATTCTGCTCCCCATTTTCTATGGACACCAGGGAACAATCTGCAGTGAGCTCAGCCAGGGAGGGCTAAAGCACAGACAGAGGCCCGTGGGCACCATAATGCCACAGCTGGGGACATTCTATTGTCAGGCTGCAGGACAGGGAGCAGAGCTGCCCTTTCAGCCTGGTGTCTCCTTTTTTCCCATTCTGTAGTTTCCATTTCAAACAACAAAAATTCCTGAATCCCTCCTGGGAGGGTCAGCTGGAAGCCCTGTAATCCCTCCCACTGCAGGTTGGACACCTCTGTTTGTTTTTTCATCTCCTGTTGGGAGACAATGAATTGTTCTGCAGTGGAGATGAAGCTTTGTCACCTCCTAGATGTGTTTTGAGTCCTGTGACTCCAAATGTCAGGCCAGGAGTGAGTGGAAGGGTTTTGCAGTAGTGTTTTTAAAGGGGAGTCCCTTGAGTGATCGCAAGGGTGATGTATGAAGTGATGTATGAAACCACTGCTCAGGAAAAGTCAGATATTTGGTCCCCTTCACTGTTTGGTCCCTTGTGAGAGAGACTAAGCTTCTCTGAGGCATAAAACACGCTGCTTGTTGAAAAAAAAAACAAGCACTGGCTGAAAGGAAATGAAATGTTGGCTGAAATGTTTCTGTAGTAAATGGTGATCTACCTCCCACGTTAAGGAGCACAGCATGGAAAATGTTAAAAGCTGTTGTATCAAGCTGTAAACTCTGAAAATGGGTCAGGTTTAGCCCATTTAATCTGCCCTTTTTGGCATTTGGCTTTCAGAGAGCAGAAGTGGGCACAAATTGAAGCAGAGCACTGGTGCTGTGCGGTTGTGTCCTCTGCTGCTGGATGTGAGTGAGCCCTGGGCTCAGTGAGGAGGGCCAGCAGTGCACAGGGCTCTCTCTGAAGGGCAGAATTGGCTGCAGGATTTCTCCAGCACCTTTTAATCCTTTCAGCATCACTGCAGAGCCCTGAGAGCCACTCGTGAGCCCTGCTGGGTTTTGTCTTTTCCCGGGCATGCAGCGCAGTAATTGCAGCAGTGGGGAGAGCAGGGCTGGAATCAGGGGTGACTTTGATGAGCAGGCTCTGAAGTGCTTGTGGGGGATGATGAAATGGATTTCTGGACCCACTCCAGCCAGCAGTTGGTCTCCACTGCTCAGTATTAGCAGAGATTTAAGCTCCATGCAGGAGGTGACTGCTCACATCAGAGAGGAATTTGGTCAAACAAGCTCCTTGGGAAGGGGGGAAGGTGCTCTGCTTGAACCAGGAGGGTTTGAAAGGGGCTTTGTTCCTCCCTCAGAAGCAGGATGTGGCCTGGTTTTGCAGGAAGGAGGCACTGGGTGGAAGAGGTTTGCAGGATTGGGTGTGCAGGGATTGTCATGGCAACCAGAGGGAAACCCCACGAGGTGGGAAACAGCCAGGCACAGGTGAGGGGAAGCAGGAAACCTGTTTGCAGAGGATAAAGCTGCTCCCAGCAATGCTGGCTCCAGGAGGAAAGCAATGAGGATAATTGAGTGTTTTAAGCAGCTTCTAGAACCGTCTGAGCACAGCAAGGAGAAACAATTTCCTACAACAGCCCCTCTGAAATACTCAACCACCTCAGATTCTCCCAGTTCTCCTCCACAGATGTTGATCTCTCTGCAACTCTGCTGCCAAGACAGAGGGAAGCTTTTAGGAGAAGCTCCAATTGTGTTTTAAGCAAGTTTGGGAGGAGTTTTAATCCTGGTTCAGAATAGGAGTGGCTGTATGGGGACAGCATTCCAAAGGCACTGGGGGATCCAAAGGTTTTTGGGGGATCCAAAGGGGAATGCTGGGTTATGACAGGGTGTGTGCAGCCAGGAGTTTGTGGGAAGAAAAGGAAGGGAGGATTCTGGAGCCAGCTCCTGCCTCAGCAGCTCTGAGGCTGCAGCAGCAGTGAGTCCTTCCCTGCTCAGTGACACTCAGTGGCTTTTTAGGCTCTGGAAAGGATTTAAATGAAAAGAGAAGTGGTTTTGTCTTTTCCTGGGCATGCAGCGCAGTAATTGCAGCAGTGGGGAGAGCAGGGCTGGGATCAAGGGTGACTTTGATGAGCAGGCTCTGAAGTGCTTGTGGGGGATGATGAAATGGAGGTTAGGAAATGAGGTTAGGGGGCAGACTGATGCCTGCTCCCCAGTCATGGATTTCCAGGGATGTGCTGAAGAATTCAGCTTCTATTTCCCCCCAGCCAAAGGCAGGAGTGGAGATGGGAGAGCTGGTGATGCCTCTTCCCTCCCAACATCCCCTAAATGTCAGGAATTTGCATTTCCCCTCTGAGTGACTCCAAGGCTGAGGGTGTAGGTGATAACCAAGGAGCAGCTGAGGAGCTGTGGGAGGCAGGAATGTGATCCCAGGCTGGGAGGGAGCTGCCTCACCCCATTGCAAGGCTGATGAGCCTTTGGAGGGAGCTGCTGGATAACTACATGGAGGGAGCAGGGTAATGTCCCACGACAGCACACTGTAAATGGTGATTTCTGTGCGCTGTGCATTCTGCAGAGCAGCAGCTCTGCCTAAATGAAGGTTTATGCAAAGCCCCTCTCAGCAGTGGATGCACCATTAGGCTCCAGGGTGGCTGCTTAAATTGCGCTATTGATTTAATGTGCAGGAATATTTCCTAGTGCACAGGAGAGCTGCAGCTAATGACTTCTGCCTTCCTCAGATTTTAGTGTGGCACACAAGGACAGAGAAGCCTGTGCTGGTGAACGAGGGCAAGAAAGGATTCACAGATCCCAATGTGGAAATCTGAGTGTGCATGGCTGAGCAGAGACCAACTCCAGGTAAGAGCTGCTTCTAACAGCACTGAGAAGCTACACAAGGGCAGGAGAAAGAGAAAAGCTCTTCTAAATGTGCTTTTTCATTTCCATTTTTCACAACCCTGACCTTCCCTTACACTAAACCTCTCAAGACCATTTGTTAATCTCTCTTTTTTTAAAGTTAATCCATTTTTAAGACAAAATACCTGCTGAGAGGTTGAAGGGAAGAAAAACGCAGGGAGTAGGAGTTTAGGCAGAAGTTGCAGCATTAAGAAAAATCCTTGTGTAAGCAAGGTTGCCTTATTAACTTTAATAAAGCGCAGGGGTGAAGGGTGGGGGTTCATCCACCTGCAAACACCTGAGGGAAGATAAAGCAGGTCCAGAAAAAAGATTTTTGGTCAGGCAGAAGCTTTCACTGAGGGAAATATTTAATTCAGGCCCACACTGAAGGCACAGAGAGGCAGTGATGAGTAGGAAGGTGTGGATTGAACCCTGCCTGAGGTGTTTGTTCACCTGAGGAGAGCATGGGGTGTATTTTGCAGTGGAAAGGAGGAAACAGCACACACATTGATATTTGTTCATGCCTTGGGTGTTTCTGCAGCTGGTTTGCAGGAGGATGAGCTGTTCACTTGTATCTGCAGCCTGTAGAGCTGCCCTTCATTCTTATGGGCAATAAAATAAATGCACAACTCCCTTTCACTGGAGTGTAGAACCAGGCCTGGAGGGAGAAGAGGTTTCTGCTCTTGAGTCCTGAGAAACAGGAGCAGGAAGAAGGTGGATTTGCTCAGCAGGGGTGAATTTTTACCTGCAGTGAGCTCCCTTATGTGCCATTCCCTGGGGCAAGCAGGATGGAGCCCTGGCTGCTGCTCTGTGCCCTTGGCAGGGCAGCAGAGGCTGCACCAGCTCCTCTGGGCCAGGGAGAGGCTGTGCACAGGGGCTGGGGCTCTGCAGTGCTGCTCCCCCTGCCCAGGCAGCACAATCTTGGGATCTGCAATGGGACAGGGCTATGGGATGGCTTTGAAGAGTGAGTTAGGAGTTTGGGATGGCCCTGAAGAGTAGCACACAGGTTTGGGATGGCTCTGCAGTGAGGGACAGGGCTGTGGGATGGTCCTGAAAGTGGTTCAGGGTTTTGGGATGGCTTTACAGTGGTTCAGGGCTTTGGGATGGCTCTGAAGTGAGGGACAGGGCTTTGGGATGATCCTGAAGAGTGGCACAGGGCTTTGGGATGGCTCTGCAGTGAGAATCGGGGCTTTGGGATGGCCCTGAAGAGTGGGGCAGAGCTTTGGGATGGCTCTGCAGTGAGAATCAGGGCTTTGGGATGGCCCTGAAGAGTGGCACAGGGCTTTGGGATGGCCCTGCAGTGAGAATCGGGGCTTTGGGATGGCCCTGCAGTGCCACAGGCCTTTGGGATGGCTCTGAAGTGTGGGACACAGCTTTAGGATGGCCCTGCAGTGGCACAGGGGTGCTACCCACGTTGTTTGTGTCTCTTGCAGAAGATTTCTTCCTGCACAGCCTGCCAGGTTCCTCTCCACAGCAGCCACCCAGCCAGCCAGGCGGGAGCCAGGAGCTCTGCTGACTCCCACGAGTTTGAGCCTTCAGAAAAACCAAGCACCACTGCATACATGACGTCCCCGGATCCCCTGCCCCTCCTCCCGGGCTCCGGAGGCGGAGCACAAAGCACAGCAAGGCAGGACTGGCAGCTCCCGGCCCCAGGCTCGGCTGCAACGTGAGCAGGGCTGTGCCAGCACCTGGCTGAGGGGGAGAGCCACAGCAGTGGCCCCTGGGGACTGGTTTTGCTGAGCAACACGAACTTTGTGGCCGTGTGTGAGACAGCCCGAGCAGCTCTCTGGCCGTGGAGGGGACAGCTGCCTTCCTAGATGGCACCTTAGCCCTTAATTTTAAACCTCCTTCAATCAGTGTTTGTTACGCTGCACAAGAGGGGAAGGGTTTGGGGAGGGGGGAAACGAGGCAGGTTAGAACAAACCCTTGAAGCATCACTCTGGTTCCCTCTCCTTTTCCTTCCTCAAACAGTTTGGAGGGCACCCTGATGTTCCTGTGTGGTCATGGAATCATGGAAGGGACTTTAAAGGTCCTCTGGTCCAAGGTTGCTCCTGGCCTGGAACATTCCAGGGATGGGGCATCCCCACCCCTCTGGGCACCTGTGCCAGTGTGGCACCACCCTCATTGTACAAAATGTCCTTATATCCAATCTATCCTCTTTGAGTTTAAAACCATCAACCCCTGTCCTAGCCCTGCTAAAAGGTTTGTCCCAAAGTGGGACAGGATCAGGGGGCTGCTGATCACCACCAGTTCACCACTGATCCTGATGGAGTTGTGTCTCCAGCATGTGGATCTCTAAAAATGCTCAAGTAACTGCAAATTGGGTTTAATGAGATTGTGGGGGCTATACACCATAATATTCATCCAGAGCTGGGTCCTGTTTGGCCCTAATTTGGTTCCCATTAGGTGTGGGATTCTCTCAAGGGTGCTCCTATATAAAGGCAAATTTCCACTCTTAAAAAATAAAACTGCTTCAAACTAGAAATTGGACACTAAGAGGTGAATTTAGTGCATTTCCTATTTGACTGGAGTGTATCCTCCAGCTCCTTCTTCTGCTACTGCAGAGCTGGTGTGAAAAGCCACCATGGAGCAGTTCCCAGTCCCCTCTGATGGAGAGCAGCACCCTTGGGAAGGGGATCCTGACTCAGGGCTCTGCTCATTCACCATCTGCTGGTGCTGCCACCATGGGTGACTCTGTTTGAGACTGCCAAACTTGCTGAGATAAATCTGAGGTACAACAGGCCCCTTCTCCCCAGCCAAAACCCATAAATTCCCTCCTCCTCCTCCACAACTGTTGTCAAACCTTTGTCACCCTCCCCTCCCTGCTGCTGTCCCAATTCCTTCAAAAATTTTGAAGCACAATTTTACCTTTGGACTGAGGGAAAAATGTAATCCTGCAATAGACTTGGTTATTTTTAGCCCTAACACATAGAACTATTAAAATGCTCTGGGTTTGATTGTTGGCTTCACGGTGCAGAAGTCTCCCCTTGGACTAATGACATTGTGTATTTCCTGATATTTCAAAGGAAAAATATTTTTTGTAAGTTATTTTCTCCCACTGTATATCAGAACCATTGGGGAAAAAGTCTCATTCTTTAGTTCCCAGCCACAGAAGCCTTTACAAAAATGTTCCTTTTAGATGCAAGGGCTGAAGCACCACTTGGAAAGAAAGTGTTGGATGCTGCTGGCTGCTCTATGGGAACAGGTATTGTTACCTTGGATTAAAACTCTGCACTCAAGTAGATTTATTCTCTTACTGTACTGGCCTTCCAAGCTCCCTTCAGTCTGCAAACCCTCCAGTGGAAAGAGACATTTCTCAAGGACTACCAAGTTCTCATAGCATTGAAATAGTTTCCAGCTGATGTCCTCTCCGAGCTGCATGTTTTGGTTCACTGATCTGAATTCCAGTCCCTGCTGGGTTCCAACTTTCCCTCCTTGGAAGGAAATGTCAACTTGCAGAAAAATGCAAAGGATGGAGTGCTGAACACAGCCCTGCACATTTGCTCTGCCCACAGGAGCCTCTCAGCTGTCCCAGAGCTGCTGTGGCCCTGGGGAGCAGAGACAGACCTGGCCAGGATGGAGTGTGTTCCAGCTGCACTGTCTGTTCTCAGTTTTAAACAAACTGTATTTAAATTTGTTAAATAAAATGATGGTTTCTAAGAGCCAGAATAGCCTGCACCTCCCTTACAGACACAGTCTGGTGTTTCTCCTGGTACTGGCACAGAAAGCAAAGACTCCTTGGAGGTTCTGAAGGATTCACAGCTCAGGTTTGATCTCCCCCTCTCCCTAAGGAGGCTGCAGCTCCTCTGTGCCTGGAGCTGCTGAATTAAAACAATGTCATGTTTACCTAAATCCCACATTTCTGTTTAGAGGGACAAAAAGAAAGACAAACCAGGACCCAAGATCCCACAGCAGCTTTAAGGAGGAAGCAGGGATGAGTTTTCCCACTTGCTTCTACCCCAGCCAAAATCTGATCCCTGCTCATTTTCCAAGGGGGAATTTCATCTTTAGGTGGAGAGGGGACTGCAGGACTCATTTGTTTTCTCCTCCTTCGAAATTCTCATTCATGACTGATGTGAAACATAATGATACATTTGATAAAAGACAAAACACATCTCACTTTTTAAACTTTTTCTTTTTTTCCTTTTGAGAGAGAGACAACCTCCATAATAAAACTCAGTGGAAAAAAAGCTGAAATTAAAAGTCATTTGACAACCACCTTGCCTTCCAACAAGGGAACACGTAATGGCCTTTTTGCAGAGAGACTTGCTAAAATCTGCCTCAAAATGGTTTCCCACACCTGATTACTCACTTGTTCACCAACTATTTTCTCCCTACCTAATTATAAAAACGAGGAGGCCAAGGATAGCACATTTTGAAAGTCCCTGGAAAGCTGAGCTCAGCTTCCAGTTCAGATGGCTTCAGTTCTTTCTCTCTCTCTCTCTCTCACCTGCCTCCAGCACCTTTTTACTCCCCCACATCCACCAGATGGTTCAGAACATGCTCAGCCATCCGGGCTGGGAGCCTCAGCAGGGCAGGGGAGGAGCTCCATCCATCCATGGAGCAAGGGCGCCGCTTCCTCGCTGTCCTCTCCTCTGACCTCACTGCCAGAGGGCAAATCCTTCCTCTGGCTCTGGTGGAGATGAGCATGCCCAAGTGCTGAGCCAGCAGGTCCCCAGCCATGCAAGCAGGAGTGCTCAGGGTGAGCCAAACGTGGGAAAGGAGCTCCCAGCCCAGCCTCAGTCCACGTACTGGGTCCGTCCCAGGTAGGGGATGTCCACGGACTGGATGATCCGGCCCGCCGTGCGCTCCTCAAAGATCACAATCTGCACAGGAGAGAGAGAAAACCTCTTCTTGCAAAGCCTGGGGGGCTGCAAATATGCTTAGGAGAAGCAGATTTGAAACTCCATTTGAAGCACCATTTAAAGAGCTCAGTCAGTGTGAGTCTAACAGGGATGTGGCTCTCAGCACCGCGTGGTGAAGGGATGAAGCAGCATCACATCAGGTTTGGGTTGATCTCCAACCTGGTGCAGAGCTGTGAAGTTCAGCTGCCATCCCTGTCAGCCTTTAATGGCTGTCAGAGCCATCTTTGGAGCACCTTCCCTGGTTTTCAGAGATCTCAGGAGACAGCACTGTCCTTCCCCTCTACTGCACTTTCAGCACTGTCCTTCCCCTCTACTGCACTGGCTTCCAGCTAAAGGACAATGGCTGTCCTGTGTGTGTCTGGCTCTTTGGGACAAGGATCTTTAACAACCCCAACAGGCACAGAGCAATCCCAGCAGTCTCTCACCTCATTGCCCCCTCTCCTTAGCCAGGGTCCAGGAAGGTAAAGAGTTTCCTGAGGTCCAATCTTCCAGTATCTTCCCAGGTTCTGACCATTGACAAACACCACTCCTTTCTCCCAGCCCTGGAATCAAGGCAGAACATGGAATTACTGATGCAGCTCTGCTGCCTCCTTTGCGTCCCCACAGGAAACCAAATCTGCTTTCACACTTGCATTCTTTCCAGCCACTTTCTGCAGGTTTTCTGCTTGCTTTCCCTGTGCAAATCCCTGCAGCCAGAACATTTAAACAAGCCCTGCTGAACAGGAGTTATCCTTAATGTGCTCATTAAAAGGATAAAGCTTTCAAAAATGTGCAATTTGTGACTTGTGCTTGTACAGGAAGTTTCTTCCCTTTGAACAGACAGGCCTTTATTCCTCCCCAAGCATGCAATATCTGCCCTCACCTCTTTCCCAGGTGACAGAAAAACTGAATTGCTGCTGGCTGGCCTGATTTACAGCAAATAGAATTTCCCCAATACATGGGAAAGTGAGCAAGACAGTAAGGCTGGGCACAAGGTTGGCTCTAAGGGAGGGAAATCAGAGCAGGAAGTTGGATAATATTTAAAATCTCATCTGAAGTTCTATGCAGTCTCCCACAGAAGCATGACAGGAATGCTAACTCCCATGCCATGGCACAAAGAAGTGACTCTTTCCATGTCACACTGAGGAGACAGGAATAAAACAAGGCCCTCCTTTATTTTCTGTGCCCATTACTCCCCTGCAACTAGAAAACAGCATTTGCATGCCAGTAAGAAAAGACTGACCTAGCTCTGCAGGGTCAGTTCTCTCACAGGATCTCTCCAGACTGAACAGAATTACCTGGAGGAGACCCGCAGAATAATCCCCTAAGAGAGAGGGGGAGGCTACAGACACACAGATCAGTCAGAGCTGCTGCACAAGTCTCTCTAACCAGTTTTTTTATAAAAATTTGACCAAGAAGAGCCAGGACTTGCCTGCAGCTTCAGGAAGGTGTCCTGTGGCTGCTGCTCTATCCACAGCCTCCCGCGGAAGAACGCCGGCCCCACGAAATAATCCGGGACTGAGCTCCAGCCAGACGCCTGCTGCAGGCTGCAAGAGAGGGACAGCTCACAGCCCACAGGGCCACCTGCCTGTCCCCAGCACCCACAGCCCTGCCAGGCCAAGCTGGGCTGCAGAGGATCCCTGGGGCTGTCACCACCTCTGATGGCACCGCTTCAATGGTTTTTACAAGAGCGTGTGGTGATGGGACAAAGGGGAAAGGGTTCAGGCTGGCAGAGAGCAGGTTGGGATCGGATATTGGGAAAAAATTCTTCCCTGTGAAGGTGTGAGGCCCTGGAAAAGGTTGCCCAGAGTATCTGTGGCTGCCCCATCCCTGGAAGTCCCCAAGGCCAGGTTGGAGCACCCTGGGATGGTGGAAGGGGTCCCTGCTCATGGTGAGAGGATCTCAAAGGTGCCTTCCACCCAAACCACTCTGGGATAAAAGCTCTGCTTCATGCTGGCTGCTGGGGATCCTCCAGAGCTGCCAGGGTGCTTGAAATGCCTGTGGCTTGCTAAAGGAGACAGCAGAACTGACAGGATTCAAAGCAGACACTCCTGCCATGGCTTCTGGTGAGGAACACAAACAGATCCCTGCAGTGGGCAGTAATCAGGGGAATCTGACAGGATTTCTTACCTGTAGCAACAATTTGGGAGCAGGGCAAAAGGAGAAGAGGAAATAAGGAGAGCAGAATCCCACAGAAGCCTTCAGCTGCTGTAAGAACATGTTCCCTGCAGCCCTTACAAACTGCATCTCTTGGACTGGGGGAAGTTATTGATCCAGCGCAGCCTGGCTGCTACTGAATTATTCAACTAAAAGCCTGTGACAGCTCCTTTCACAACACTGCTCTCCCTCCTCCCCCGAGGGGAC